ATATTTTTAGACAGGATTTTTAACACCTTGGGAAAAATCATGGAGAAAATTTTTCTATCTATCTATCTATCTATCTATCTATCTATCTATCTATCTATCTATCTATCTATCTATCTGTCTGTCTGTCTGTCTGTCTGTCTGTCTGTCTGTCTGTCATCTATTTTTAGGAGTTCAACTATAAAGGCAGCTGGAACTGGAAATACTTTCCCCCCTTTCATTTCTAGTGAGAAAAAAATCGTGTACATTATCTGAAAAGTGAAAAGTTGCAATGGAAACCACTCTCAGGCAGGACTGGTTCCTTTCAGAAACTTACGCCAGAATTCCCAGTCTGGTTTCACTTCTGAAAGGCAGTTGGAAAACTTGGAAGAAAATTGGCTAAAAGAGAAGTGCATAAAATAATCCTTTGCAAGGGCCACCTGATGCTTCAGGTGGTTTTTGTGGGCAAGGAGGTGGCATTTATTCTTATATTGATTATTGCTTGTATACTTGTTCAGTCATACAGAGCAAACAAACACACTTCGTCAGGAGGAAAAAAAAAACACAGAAGGGAAGATTATTTTGATATAAGAATCCAATCCTCTTCCTACCAATCATAAGTTTGTCCTTAACTCCAGTTGTTGGGTGGATTAGAAATAATTAATCTGTCCTCTCTGTGTAGAAAGTGTGATGATACGTTGATTCTCTGAAGCTCCTACTTCTCCTGTACCATTCAGACCAAACCAAGCTCTGATAAATTCTCGTATTTAGCTCTACCATTTCCCCACCCCATTTATGGAGTCTTTCTTCTAGCCTTGCTTTGGGTTCAATCTGATCCTACATGGCAGCCCCAGCTGAAATATCCTGTGCTCAGCTTCCAATATTTTTGCAATTCACACACAAACATTGTCCAAAACAGGACAAGCCCACTGTGAATGATTGGGGCTGGAGCCTTTCTATGTGTGTTGGGAGTGGAGGAGCAGGTACCATCATTTAGTGAGTTATTTCTGAGATGATGGTTGGATTGGGAGGGAGGGGTATGTAGAAATGGAACAGGGCATCCATCAAGGACAGGGGACACAGTAGGGATGGATGTGGGGGCGTGCTGTCAATTTTGTTAACCGGGGCTCTCCAGACACAGAGAGTGGGTACGGGATGGGGATGAGAAATATAAAGGCACCTTTGATGGTGTCAGGACCCAAAATTCTCCTGTTTCTCTGGATTTCTGTTTCCTGTTGGTCATCTGGAACCAGGTTAGTCAAGAATGATGAGAGAGATGAATGACAGGGATTAATACCAGAGGTAACAGTGCCTAAGCTCCTAACCCTCGCCCTCTCCTTGATGTTCTTCAAGCGACAAGTGTTCTCCACCCTACATCCCTTACATGGGACAGCTGCAGCCTTTGTTATGTCTGAGCTCCTTCA